TGCCCCCAAGCCGTAGTCGAGCCTCAAAGCCCTACATTCATCATGTTCCATATCTCGTTCCTCTCAGTGTTACTGCCATCATTCAACTGGCCAAAGAAACCAGCATCCGTGGCGCCCCAGAGAGGCATCTGCTGCGATTTGTTCGACAGCTGTTCTGGAGACGTTTCGTCACTGCCGGGTCGTGTGTCCGTGCCAAAGCTGTTGATAATGTTGTTCATTGGCGAGGACGAGGCGGTCGACGAGCTGGTCCTGTGCGCCAGTATGATGTTGGGGTTCGGGGCGGTTCCGAGGTCGAACTGTCCCACGTCTCCGAGTACACGTGAGAAGCCGTCATTTTCGCTCGCCAGGAAACTCATGTTGACAATCTCACTCCTTGATATGCTGATGCTCTCCATGTCAGTGCTTCGAACCAGGTTGGCCTCCTCGTGGGACGTCCTCTTTCTCTTGTTGGGCGGTTGGCTCCCTGGTGTAGTGTCCGACCCAGCCTCAGACTCCATCATAGGCGGCACTGTAGACGGTGTTGAGGACTGCGTCTTATTATTTCGGGTGGCAGCGCCGAGGATGCCCTGGAAGCACTGCAGAGCCTGTCCTGTGCTTTCCACATCCTCCGCGATAGGATGCACCCTTGGAAGCCGCAGACTGCTTGGTCGAATCCTGCCCTCTGGCTTGCCTAGAGGTAACCGCCCAGGAAGAACGGGCGAGATCTTTGTGTGGCTCCCTATCGTATGGTTGCGAGCTAGCAAAGGGATGTTGGATGCAGGACCGCCAAAACTATCGCGGTATTTGCTCAGATTGGGAAGTCGGATGACTGCATCTAGGCCATTGCGTTCGACATCTAGACATGCCTGCTGCAGGAATGACCGAGTAATCTCGTGGGCTCTTGCAATAGCCTCCATTGCTTGAATGATGAGTTCCAGGTTTGCGGTGTCGATGGAATCCAACCCATCCTCGGGGTTCTCCTTGGCCATGAAGATGTATACGGTTGTTGCACAATACATGGATAAGGCGCATAGTGGGCTTCGCTGAGTATGGAATAAGGTTAGCTGATGGGACAAACGGGGATGTATCGATTATGAGTCTTTGAGTGCAAACATACGAATAGTGCAAGCTGATGAGATGTCAATTTGATGATATTAACAATTTCCTCGGCCGCAGTCCTGAGGCGGGTAACGCTGGCCTGCTTAACTGACGGGGGATGGCCGTGCTTCATTGCCTTCTCGACCGCGGCGTGATGGAGACAGATGACTGAAGCGTGTAGATTAAGATTCAAATGAATAGCGGGCGGTTCGCGATAGTGCCGAGGGAGGGAGAACTTTTCTGGGAGAAACATGAAAGCCCCGGACAACTCATTGTCAAGTTCGCGATGACGAGCCCAGAAGGGGCCATTCACCAAATCCTCTGGGCGATCTTTAGCCCTTGATCTGTGGACATGGCTCAGGATCTTCTTGAATATCCGACATGTGACAATGGTACTGGAAAATCCGGAATAGGAGGCACCTTTCAAAGCCTCGTCAATGAAGACAGACGCCTCTTCTTTCCCGGAATTGAACGCCTCTTCTGATGCGGGAAGTCTCGATTCGATCTAAGTCTAGAGTTAGTCCCATCATGCTTATCTGAGAGAAAAACGGGGGAAGCAGACATCATCACAATTGATCAGGCTCGGCCACCCAGCGGAGATGCTGGCGTGAGCGTCGATGCAATAGGCGCCCCAGAATGTTCTCCTACGCTCTTCGAGCTCAGCCCATGACGTGGCAGGAGCCAAGCTAGGGGGGATGCTGCCTTTCTCGCCATCTACCCGATCCAGACCCATCATCTGGACAAGTCGAACGGCCTTGGCCGAGGTCATGGACGCTCTCGTAAAAAGCATCAATTTTGCCTCAAAGGTCGATAGGATAATGTAGGCCTGGGCGTGGAAAAGGGTGATGAAGTATTCACCTACGCCCTATTGAGAGTCAGTACTGCAATCATTTCCCGACCACATTTCATGATTTGAGTTGAATGGCATTCTAACCTTTAACTCGTCGGCCTCGACATATTGCCTCGCTCGTTGATAGAAGATGTCCGAGAAGGAGGCGTACTTATCGTTTAGATACGACGCCAATGCCCAAATCGAATATTGTAGGCACATGGGCGGTTTCATTAATGGACCGCCATAGAATGCTTTGAGATATCGCCCAGGGTGTACAATGGGAATGTAGAAGTGCTGGGTGTTGAAATATATGTTGTTTCTTGTGAAGGTGTCAATGGTCAGATTCAACAAGCAAGGAACAAGCATGGGGTTTCATACAAGTCCTCCATCATTTCGAAAGGAGGCAGGCTCTCAGACAGACCGAGGTCCATCAACTCGCCGCCGAGCATGCCATTCGTTTGGTCATCGAAAAGGTCAGAAGGCATATCTAAAGGTACTTGTGATTGCCCCGGCGTGACGGTAACACCAGCAGTCTGATTTGGCAACGCCGAAGTGAAATCGAAGTCACCTAACTGATGGATTTCTGGATCAGGGTGTATGAACGTATCATCGACTTGTTCCTCAGAATCGACTGCACCGCTCTTGGTAACTTCTTTGAGGTAACCCTCCACCTGGGCTAAATGGTTGTTAACATTCCGTGTGATACAACGGAATCAGATGGCTCAATGTGAGACCATGAATGCGGTTACCTACCTAAACGAGCCTCAAGCTCCCTCACATTCCGACGTTTGAATGTAGGCTTCCGCCTTGATTCTGGATAGATGCATTCGGCGCTGGCCTTGGAACAGCGAGTGCACGCTGGCTTGATTCGGTCACACTTGAGCTTCCGTGACCGACATGACACACATGCCAAAGCCTCCGTGCCGGCGTTAGACGTCCGGTCCAGAGGGTCATTCCCCGTCTGGAGGCTGTCGCCCATGGTGTCGGCGAGCGTCAGCGAAGTGCGTGTGGCGTTGGCTCATCCGCTTTGGCACCGTGAAAGAGAGCCGCCGGTAGCCCGGGGCTCCAACGATTCAAGTCCGAGACAGAGCGGCAGGTGAGTTGTTGATGATGAGAAAAAAATGTCCCTTATACGCGGATCTCATCTGACATACATCGCCCGGCCACGATTGCACAGCGCACCGTAAACCGTATACGTAGACCGATGCTGACAAGGCCGTGCTGGAGCTTGCCGAATTCACGTGCGATTCCGTAAATTACTGCATCATTGCGACGGGTGGGACACCCGTTACAGGGGGACGGAACGACGTTGGGCCGGTGTCCGACCCTGTCCGGGAGGGACCCCACGCTGCTCTTGCCCAGGTTTCTCCAGGTGGATCCGCTGACTTAAGCGAGACACATGCCTCGGGCTCGGTAGTAGAAGCTGCAAACCATACCTATGGCATGACGTGACTCCTCAAGAGGATTGAACTTGAAGCAATCACAGTTCTATCGTTTAATTTATCCATTTTCTTCTTGTGACCCCTTCTCGTGATCCAATAAAGACCAAGCTAGAAAGAGCATATCTACCACTGTCTATAATTACGATGCTTCTCATCGGGCTGACGGGATCCATCGCCACGGGCAAGTCCACTGTTTCCTCCCTGCTCTCCTCGCCACCATACAATCTCCCCATCATCGATGCCGACATTCTGGCTCGCAAGGTCGTGGAGCCCGGCACCCGTGGGTATAATGCCATCGTGAAGTACTTCGGCCCCACCACCCCGGACCTGCTAGTGGCGCCGTCAGACACCATGCCCGAGGCTGGGCCAGATGGCAAGGGGCGGCCGCTGAATAGACCTGCTCTCGGCAGGCGCGTGTTCGGCGGCAGTGAGGAGCTGAAGAAGGACCGCGACGTTCTGAATGGCATCGTGCACCCGGAGGTGCGGTGGGAGATGTTCAAGGGCGTGGTCGGCAACTACCTGAGGGGCCACTGGGCTGTCGTGCTCGACATCCCCCTCCTGTTTGAGAGCGGGCTGGACAGGTATTGCGGAACCGCCGTGGTTGTTGCGGTGAGCGACCCGGAGATTCAGATGAAGAGGCTCAGGGCTCGCGATGCGCACCTGACGGCCGAGGATGCGGAAAATAGGGTTCGGAGCCAGACGGACGTCCGAGTCAAGGCGAGGCGAGCAGAGGCACGCGGTAGTGGAAGGGGACTTGTTCTTTGGAACGACGGTTCAAAGGAAGAGCTTCAGGTGCAGGTCGATGCGGCTCTGACTCAGCTGAAGACGCAGAGTCCTGGGTGGTGGTCGTATCTGTTGTTGGCATGCCCCCCTCTCGCTGTTGCTGTGACCGCATGGAGGCTGTGGGATAATGCGCGGATTAACAAAGAATGGGAGGAGCTCAAGAAGCAGACAAAACAGAAACTTTAAGACGCTGAGGTGTGGGCGAAGTACATGATCAAGGAGCGACCATAGTCTTGTTTAACGATACCAATAAACGCACGTGCTGGCAGATTTTTGAAGGCCAAATCATTCTTACCGCATTGTTTTGATACAAATTGGCTTTGTATGTATAATGCAACTGATAAATGATACCTCCAAGTAGTTGCCCCAATCTCACGTGTCTTGAAGAATCCTTGCGTTGATGGGCGAGCTGACGAGAGAACAATGGCGATCCTGTATCACCCTCTACAGATCTTCTCCTTAGTCCAACCTGGTCAGATAGCAAACCTGCCAAGGAACTCGATCAAACCCAGCGACATAGAAAGGACTATACATTCGTCAACAGAGACCCAGAGAGGTAGAAAATCAATAATAAGTTATTCGCCTGTCAAACAAATGGTCCCGAGTGGTGTCATACAGGGGATGGCCATCCCGAACCCAACTGACGCTACCCTTTCCATGTTTATCAGATGCTCTTTCAATGATTTTCGCTAGATCACATATCTCATTAACCGTTAATTCAAAGTAAATACGCCTGCCGTTCCTCCTTAAACAGAGGCTGTACAAATACGCCTCCAAGCCTGTTCCATGCATCCCAGCTCTTGGTCGAGCATTTTATAATTACAGAGTCCACCGCCGAAGGTGGGCAGCAACACGAATCACAGTCGCTAATAGCATTCAGTATTCCTGTACTTGATACTATAGCTGCAGTCGGCGCCATCCTCTGAGCACTACACCATGATTTAGTCAATATTTGCACGTTGAAAGACCCATTCCAGGGATACATCTCGTCATGCCTGGATACTGGCACATGTCTCATCCTAGTCGATCACTTACCTTGCTGTCGCCGCAAGCCCGTGAAGTCCGGGAGTAGTCCCACCTCTGCATGTTCTTCTTCTTGTTGATTCCATTCTTGGTATAAATCTTGAACTTGCAGAAATTCGTCTCTACCACGCATTTCTAAATTCGAACGTAAATTAGCAATGGACAAGAGCTCATGTTGGTGGCCCGGCATATGGTGGGCATGGGAGTAGCTTACGCCCCAGATGATGGGTTGGTTGGGATTTGTATGCGAATCAATGGCCCAGGTGCCGCAGATGAAGCCAAAAAGAAGAACGATAAAGAACTTCATCTTGAATATGAGAGCATAAATAGAAACATTAAATCGCTTAAAAAGGAAAGTAAAACATAGGTAGATGGAGGCGATCGCGACCGTGGAAGCTTGTCTCGATGCCGCGCTTGATGCTGGGTTCTGACGAGGAAGAGAGTCCAAACCACTAGGGACGTTTCGGGCCATTCCTTATAGCCTTTTATCTGCCGTGGACGAAGTAAGCGTGAGCCCATGGTCATTTTTAGAATTGGCTGCACGGTTCTGGCTTCAGTTTGACAGGGCACATTCATCTGTCATTCAGGCCTCCGCGCTGTCATCCCACAGACGGAATGCGCCTAGCCCGATGCACGTTCCTGGCTCTCATGAGCGGGCCAATCAATCCTGGGGCCAGCTCGCAGGAGCTCATGTTATTTTTGGATGCTGAAACATATTCTTAGTCTGGTGCGTTAGACTGCATGTGGCATCGACCAATGAACCGTTGCATGCTGACTGAGCCTGGTGGATGGAGGAAGCACGAGAGAGGAGCGTCAGTGTGGCTTTATAAACGCTCTGCCGCCTCTGTTGGATCGCAGAAATGAAAGGAGCCTGCGGATGCAACATGTGCGTTGGCTGGTATGAGCTTGCATGTGGCTGACTGCGCTCTGCGTCGCCCTGAAGCACCGTAAATGGGCTGATGGTCAAGCTCGCCTTATGCTCAGCTTGGCAGGGTAGGTATGCCTTATCGGCAATACAAGGCGAGAACTTGTGATTTTCATAACTACATATTGATACCGAAGATCCTTTTCGCCTTGACCTTCAGCACGAACCAGAGTCAGATCCCGATGCCGCCTGCTAAAGGTGATTAGGGCCCCGGGTTGACGAATAGGCCCAGATCAGACCCACGGCTTTCCTTGGAGCCTGTAGATTCCGTCCCGCCGTGGGTCTCTTTTGGCAAATGGCGTCGTAATTTTCGAGCAGCAGTTTTGGGCGTCTCCTCTGCTGAACTGGTGGTATTAAACCAATGGCCCCCACGCTCAGATACCGACCTATGGATAGGTTGTATTTTGGATTAAAACTTCCCCTTATTTGTTCCCTGGCAACAATATGGGAAAATCTTTAGATTGTGGTGCCTCCAGCTATACGCCAGCCCTTGTGCTTGCTATCCCTGAGGGTTCTTCAACTTATACGCTCCGTCTTGTGCGAAATGCAGCACAATTCATCTTTCAACGCTCGGCATTAAAAAGCCGTACCATGTAAATGACTGCACGGTATCCAGTCACCGGGGAATGGGCTATAATTGAAATATTTGCCGGCCGCGCCACCAAGGTTTCCAGAAGCCCTCGAGAAGCACCGTTGAGAACACAAGGCCAAGCCAAGCCGCGCAAGCCACAGGGGTGTGGCTTCGAGAGAACCACATCAAGCCCGAGACTTCCTTCAACAGATCCATCCGCCTATCCCGCCCAACATCAATCGCCCATTGCGCTGCGCACTGCCAGTGTGCGTGCCCGTTGCAATGCTGTCCTACATAGTCGGCCTCATCGCCGCCTTCATCTTCCTCGTAAACCCCATCAGCCAGCTCCTCTTCGGCAGCCAGCATGCCTCCGGGCCCTCGCCCAGGCCTCACCTCAACGAGTCCATGCTCGCCATTGACCACCCCAATGATCCCGTCCCCCAATGCCCGCCTGACACATACAGGGCCCAGATCCTGCGCGTCTCGCCGCTGGTCGTATATCTAGAGAACTTCCTAAACGAGGACGAGAGAAAGCACCTCCTCGACATCAGGTGAGTTCCAAGTAGACCAGCACATCACACCAGAACAGAACAGAGCTATACCCAATATCTTCCCTCTGTCTCTCTCTGTTCAACTTCATAAGAAAAGGCAGGGCTAAGCCCCCCAGCGAACCCCTCTTCCAACCCTCCACAATCACCCACGACTCGCAGACGACGCAGCGCGACCTCGCCCTGCGCGACTCCGAGGTCGCCCTCCTCCCCCGCGACGACGCCGTGCGGTGCGTCGAGCGCCGCGCCCGCGCCTTTCAAGGCTGGAGGCGCGACGTGTGGATCGAGCGCCTCCGCACCCAGCGGTACCACGCGCCCCACGGCCACTACAGCCACCACTTCGACTTCAGCCGGAACCAGGACGGCTGGGGCCGCGTGAGCACCTTCATGGCCTGGGTCGACGGCTCAGACGACGTCGAGGGCGGGGGTACCGAGTTTCCGTACCTGGCTGGGCGGATCAACACCACCAGCCCGGAGGACGGTGCGCGGTGGTGCAAGTTCATCGAGTGTGATGATGGTGAGAGTGCCAAGGAGAAGTCTAGCGAGGAAGGGGGACCGGATGAGCCCAAGGGGACTGTGTTCAAGGTGGCGCCGGGGAACGCCGTCTACTGGGAGAATTTCAGCCCCGAGGGGCTCGGGTATGATACGACCTGGCACGCCGGTCTGCCTGTGAAGAAGGGCGTCAAGGTTGGGTTGAACATCTGGAGCTTTGGGAGGATTGAATGAGGTCTCAGTAAATCTTATATGATCTGTTCACTTATTTGTTTTTCTAGATCTACCTTGTTCAGCGAGAAATCTACACTAAAAGCAATGCCGGATAATGAATGTCGTTATATAACGCCCAAAGAGACTCCTTGATGATCGTAAAACGCCAGATAAGAACAAAACGCCTGTCACGTGCAATATACGCCGTCATGTTATCATGCCCATTCAACATTTAATCAGAGAAGCTGTGTTCCGGAAAGGAAGCCCATCACCACCAAGCCGAGTGGCAAACCCAAGCCGGTCCACGATGGGGGTGGTAATGCAGCCGCGCCGTTTCCATTATCGCTAGTCGAAGTGCTTGATGAGGCTGTCTGGGTGGAGGTGGGGGACGCCGTGGCCGCCGACTGCACCGACCCCTTGCCCGTGCCGATCTCCATGATGATCTCCTTATTACCGGCATTGAAGTTGCTCTGTGCCATGGAGATCTCGTTGTTGTCCAGATCAAACACCACGTAGGCGCTCCGCATGAACGTGTCTCCCAGCACGGCTGCTGAATCCCCAGCCGGTGCCACTCCGAACAGGCAAGCGGATACCTGGGAGTGCGAGGAACCACTCGTGCTGTCCTGGTCGCTGGACATGGTATCGAGGATCAGCTCCGAGACAGGGACATCAATCTTCAGGTTGTTGCCAAAATGCAGGGTGAGGTTCTTGTTGCTGGCAGCCATGTTGCAGTCCACCAGAGCAATACCCTGCGAGTTGTCATACGATGCGTCGACGGAGCTATATAGGGCTTCCACGATGTCGTCGGGCAGGTACATGAGCGACGTTCCGGAGTCGAGAAGAACTGACATGGTGCTGTTATCATCCGTCACGGACGAGCCGTCCCAGTCGATACCCGTCATCTGGACGAAAAACTCGGCGTACGTATTGTCCTCCTGGAGAATAGGCAGAGTCACCAGCGAGCCCAGGTAATGCGCTCGGTCAATCCCTCCGAACAGCAACCTCCCCGTCGTGGCGTTGAGGTCGTCCAGCCATATACTGTAGGCGTTTGAGTTAATCAACCCGTCGCTGACCATCTTGGCGGGGAGGTTATCGTAGGGCTGTGTGTTGCCATGTGAGACCGCGGCTTCGTTGCTCTTGTATCCAATCCCGAGAATATTCTCCTGTGAGGAGCTGTGGTAGCCGATGCCAAACTGCAGGTTGTTGATGGTCTGGCCGCCGATCTTTATATTGTCGGTCGCGTAGTCGCCCTGGGCACCGTTGCCTCCAGAGTAGGTAATGTTGAAGATGCCACTAACATAGTTGTAGGACGAGGAGCTGTTGGCTGTGTATGTGCCCATCTCGGAGCACGGGTCGGCGCGGTTCTGGCACAGGCGGGACTTGGGCGTGTTGAACCACAGGTCGCTGCTGCCGGTGTCGATATCGACCATGACATTTTGATCTGGGGTGCCTACGGTGATGTTGATGGTGTAGAGAGATAGCTATCACAGTCAGCCAAACCCAGGCCAGGAAGGGAAACTTTGGAGATGCGTGCGTACCTGGTTATCAAGTTGGAGATCCAACGTCTTGCTTCGTCTGCTTAATCGCTGATTGTCGTGCTCCACCCGATCTCGGATGGACTTTCGCTCCATGGGAAAGCCAACAACTCGAGGCGAGCCATCGTCTCTTGCAACCAGCTCCAACGCACCGGTGGTAGCTGCCAGCGCGCCGAACGAAACGATGCTAGACGCCTTCATTGCTTCCCCAGAAAATGGACACTAGAACTAAGAAGCCGCTCTGGAACTGTACGTCAGGGAGGATGATGGTACATGCGCAATGCAGATCGCAGCGACATGGAAGCGACCGGGGGAAGCAATGGGGATTATATGATGGCAGGCCGATGAAGGCATTACGACGCCCGCGCCACGTCTGCACAGCGACCACGGCGCAGGGCACAGGAATACACACTTTGGCCCGTTTCCTCAGCCGCAGAGCGAGGCAGCCCGACGTCAAACCTCAGGGTTGTCCGCACGCTTGTGTTCCGAACAGCCGGGGCGGCCGGGGGCTTAATTGGCGAGCGTCGTCACCATCCTCACGCTTCGGCACATACGCGCCGACCAGTCGCCCACCGCCACCACACACCACCCTTCCCGCGGCTCCTAAAAAGCTTGAACACTGGATGTGCTCTGTAGGATTAGCTGAGGTTGCCACCCTCCCGCGAGTGGTGATGACGACGCGGACATCACGGGGACCGGCGTTTTGGTTGACCGGTGGATATGTCGTCGGCGACGTCTTCATTCCATAGCGTTCACCGCTCGCTTGTATCAGCCATGCTTACGACAGCCCTGCGGCAATGACGAGCAGAGGGTTGCCGCATAGCCTGAGTATCAAATTAGCCGCCCTGGCTGAGCTAGTCGAGGAGGGATTGGATTGGCGTTGAGACATTGAGAAGTGCAAAATTCGATGCGAATCCACCCAGGACGTGGAATAGTGGGCAGCCACGGCCCAGTCTAGAACCGCTCGCTAATTGCAGCAGCGTATAGCCCCAGAGCCATGATCGCTGCCGCTGTGGGTGAAACCACCAGCTTCAAACACCAGCCAAACAGAAAATTTAGTGATGCACATTAATCACGGGATGGCGTTACTGTAGTACGTTTCCATTGCTTATCCCGGATAACGTTTTAAGCTCCAGCGACACCTCCAAGACTCGGGCGCCAACCAAATAGTAGCTATTAGATATCCTGCTGGCCAAGAGATCTGACCCCTGCTCCCGCGATGCCATCGACATCCCTGGTCTTCCCTTTCAGGCTAATCCCAGTCTGCCAACCGCATGTAGGGTCTCTGTAGGTAGATGTAGAATGCACTCTAGGTTGCCATGAATGTGTGGCATCACATGTACTGCCCACCTCACTCTACGACAATAGTCAAAGCACCGCAAGACAATATTTTTCACTTCCGAGATGAGGCGCGAGGGCAAATAATTGAGCAAAAAGAAGCCGTCATTTAAAGTCCTCGCCTGTGTTCCGTCGTTGCCTGAGAGGCTCATGCAGTAAACCCGACAGGTCAAATGAAGGCCAGCCCAACTTGAACTTGAAACCAAAGATATTCAATATGTTTACATCTCCCATTGAGATTCAAATACTGCGCTCTTCCTCCTTGTCATCATTGGCTCTTCCCGCTGACTGTTAGGTTGATATGGTCGAGATGTTGAGCTGACCATCTTACTACCTCAGCACGATGCACAATCTCCAGGCATCAACATTCTTCTCCCGCTACCCTCAGCCCACACCCTCCAAGATGTCTGTGAACCAGTAGAATACGTCTGCCTGGTCAGCGACACGCAAACCGTATCTCGTAAATCAAACAATACAAGTCAATCAGAGCAGTGCTGTAAAGAGTAAATAAAGAGGCAGCCCGTGTTCTGAACCACCCCAGATCTTCTATTGCCCTGCAGGTACACAACAACCGGATCTCCCAACTTCCTCAAAAACCTAGCCCACCACGCCTCTCGTTTGCTAAACATATATCACAAAGAACTAAATCAAACAAACCTCAGCATATCGACCATTTTCCTCGCCAAGATGATGGATCCTGCTCTCATGGCCAGCCTAGAGCGCTGGTACGTCTCCCCAACCCCAAAGTAAACCTCCATATCTAACCCCAAGTCTCACCAACAACAGCCCAATCTACTCTGTAAGTTCCCCCAATTTCCCAAATCTCTCAAAACACCTGACCAACCCGTGATCCCCAGTCCTTCTTCGGCGCCATGGGCTGCGCCTGCGCCATCGTCCTCACCACCATCGGCGCCTCCTACGGCACCGCCAAGTCCGCGGGGGCCATCTTCTCCTGCGGCGTCCTCCGACCCGAGCGCCTCATGCAGAACACCCTCTGCGCCATCATGGCCCAGATCCTCTCCATCTACGGCCTCGTCGCCAGCGTCATCATGTCAAACTCGATCTCCGAGAAGATGGCCGTCCACACCGGCTTCCTCCAGCTCGGCGCGGGGCTGTCCGTCGGGCTGTGCGGGCTCGCAGCCGGGTTCGCCATCGGCATCGTTGGCGATGCTGGAGGTGAGTCCTCCTTTTCTTTCACAACTGGTTGTGGATAGGGAATCTGTTCCTCAAGGGAAAGCTAACATGTGGTTTCTAGTTCGTGCGAGCAGCCAGCAGCCGCGTCTCTATGTAGGAATGGTCCTCATCCTCATCTTCGCCGAGGTCCTGGGTCTGTATGGCGTTATCGTCAGTATTCTCATGCTCACTCGGTCCACACTCAACGTCACGGAATGTCTTGTGTAGTGTCCTGGACGCAAGTAGGTAGTCAGCAGTAGGAAAGCTCCCACATGAAATAATTGGATAAAGTCTATCGGGATATTATGCTCCCCCAGATCGATGCGATGTGATGCCATTATATCGATAAAATGTCAGAATGGGTATCTTCCCGGCTCTTCCTCCCCTATAGCTATTGCTTCCTCTTACTCAATGCACAAATAAATGTCTGTTCTTCGCTTGCCTTCCCCTGCTCTGCCTATCAGGCTATAAAATCCAGTCTTCGGGGCGGTCATCTTTGGTGATGAACGATTCGTCTATCCTCTTGATGGCAAAATCACTGCACAGAATACTGTATTAAAGAACTATTAGCACCAACACAAACAGAAAACAAAGTTCTGGTTTTGCCAAGAAACTTACCAAGCAGAAGCCACGAGAGAATCCAGCTCTGCTACAACAGCCTCCCTCTTGGGACCGCTGACGAGACCCTTGTGGATCTGAACCTGCAAATCTTTAATTCGCGAGGACTTGCCCATCCCTGACTGCTCCAAAACTCGCCGACCCAGACAATCAGAGTGGAAGGCATGCTGGCAAGGGAACACAAAGAACTGTCTGCTGAGCAACGGGAGCTCGCACACATAGCACTTCTCCCCAGGCTCAACAATCGCATACCGATGGTCCAGGGCCGCGATATCGACCTTGATATTCGAGGCTGTCTGTGATGATTCGTCCATCTCCTTCTTTAGATTATCGATATTGCGGCTGTAGTCCTCCAGA